TGAACCGATCAATGTTCGACCACCATTAAAAACCTAGATGTATTGAACGGTCATCTCGTCCTAGTATGGAACTCCTCAGCAGTACGCATCCACGATCTCGCATGAGGTGGTCTAACCCAGTACATTTCACGTAAACATTTAAATTCTAGACCACTGAGCCGGCATCTAATGGTGCTAATGTTTAACCTCAATCAATCCACAACATTGTGTGGTCATCTTACATTGTCTCACGCCTGATATGGTTGCACTTCACTGACCACAACTTCTCCTGATTGCACACTGCTGAAGAGCCCCAAACTAGAACGAAATGGCCGTCCAGTGTTTCCAAGTTTTCAATGATAGTCTAAAATTGATCGGTCCATGATCTTAATAATATTTAAATGAGATAATTGGCACTAAATTTTGCTTGACCTAGATTTCATGCTCATTAAATCTCATCACCATTTAATGACTAGATGAACATGAGTAAAATAATATATTGTCATTAAACCTACAAAATCAAATTGAATTCTTACTTAAAACTTAAATATAATTCATTCTACGTTTGAAATATAAGTACTATTGAAAAAGTTCTAATCAGAGAATCAATGTTTCTGATCAACCTTCAGCTGAAATGTAGTTCTCATTTATTTATTGCTTTCTTATTAATATTTTTTTGTTTTTGTTTTGAAGAGATAATATTATGTTGTGATAAGTACATTATCTCCTATTAAGATCAAAATTAATTTATAATGTTTATATTGAATTATTTCATTATTATGTGTTCCAATTTAATTGTATGTACAATTCAGTGAATCCGATGCGAAACACAATTGAGTAAGATATATATATATATATATATATATATATGATAGAATAACATTGTCAATTGAGTTAAGAGGATAGGATTATTTCGGAAGAATTTTAGAGGGGAATAAATTCAAAACAAAATAATACATGGATAAACTGATAAATGTGTATAGTGTCTGTACCTTTGGAATGTTAAATAAGTAGTATATATATATATATATATATATATATATATATATATATGATAACACGTACATAGAGAAGATAAAAGCAGAATTCAAATAGTTTCTGAACCAAAAGAACAACCAAACAATTTCAGTGATAATTAAAAGAGAAATACATAGACATATACAAATGGATAGAGAATTAGGTTTGAATTTAATTGAGAAATATATAACATGAAGTTTTTGGTATACCATAGACACAAAACATAAACTCGATAATATCAGTAATTGTAATAAAAGAAAAATACGAATCTATACGGGGAAAAAAGGAAACATACATACATATATATATATATATATATATATACATATTAGGCGGTCAAAAACAAATGATTTATAATTCGATACAATAAATGCAAATACTATTTTCATGCACCTACATATATATATGCTTGTGCTTATGTGATTATATTGCATACGTGTGTTAATGCGGAACGCTGGAGGTTTTTTTTTATGGTGTGAATAATAATGCATTCTACTTAATTATTAATTCATCTAATCTATTTGTATGATCATTATATAATAAAACAATATTTTCGATTGAGTTTAATTCATTTTGTAAAGGGGATTGGAATCTTAAAAATGTTTCAATCTATCCAACTCTATTGAGTCACAATTGGTTAAGTCGTGTAAAATTCATCCAAAGGGAACCAACAGTACATAGTAAATGGAAAGAAAACACACACAACCAATTATAATAGTATTCGTTTTATTCAGTATCACATTGTTGATTACTCTTGAATGCTCAGAACAAAATATACGAAACTACCATAAATTCCCTTCGTTCACAATCACTTAACTAATAAATATTCAAGTAATATGTATAGAAAGGTTTAAAAATTGATTAAATACCATTCATATTCATTTGTCAATGTTTACAATTAGTCTTAATCCCATCACATCTTTTTTCACATGTTCGATGTTCTTTAATAATCATATCACATTTCTCTAAAGGACTGTTTTAATGGGGATTCTTGAAATTCTCAGCACTTGAATTTATGATTAATTGTAATCATTTTATGGAGTGGCATAAGTGTATGGGATTGACAAGCATATAAAATGAAATGAAAAAATCTAAATCATAGAAATTCATGGCATTAAGTTGTAGATCACTAGCGTAAATGATCTATGTCGAATAGTTGAGGGCCCACTCGGGTTCAACGGTAAAGGGTGCGAAGAACCAGCTAGCTTCCAAGTCACACCTCGTGGTTAACACCTAACGTGGATTACCCCTTTGTCGTAATAAGGTACTATGGCTGCTTTGAAGACCGTATAATACAAAAGACGTTATTACGGAAATATATTAGTTAGAGTGGGTACAAGCTAAAGTGTGACGACCACCACCACCACATGGGCCAATCCATGGCTTACGATTAACTGGTGCGCGTTGGTTGTCCTCGACTTTGACGGGGATCGATGAATTGTTCGACATTCAGTGACTCCAACTACCGGATGATTTCGCAAGAGCTCGGTAACATTTTACTGGCCCTACAACGTAAATAATTGAGAAAATAGTGAGCAAGAAGTTTGAGACAGCCACCGTGACGAGGATCCAGAACATAAAGAAAACAATGTATTTAAGAAAGGAAGAAAAAATTCTGTAGTTAAACGGTCAAATAAATAATCCAGTGTATGTTTATACTGCTAGTGTAAAATCTGTAGAAATTTCTCCAGAAACTAAATAACTGAAATACTTTCTATTTAACATTATAAGTAAGAGTAAAACATTTTAAAAATAAAGGATACAATGCATATATCGTACATTGTATGTTTTATGGTAAGACTATATCATATACAACACCTAGATACTGATAACTGTGTTAATGATTAATTAGTGGTCAAAATTCAATTAATTAACAAAAATATTTGTATAATTACTAAGGAAGTGGGTGATCATCTAAAATTCTGTTCGAATATTTTTCTAAATGTGTATTTGATAACATAAATTTCCCTATTTTGGATGTTTATTTGAATAGATATATTTGCCAACTCTATGAGTTTTCTTTATTGTAGTTTAGTATATTTAGAGATAACCATTCTTTATCATAACCAAATATATTTGTCACTAAGTAAAATGAGTGTTTCTTCTTCTTCTTCTTCTTCTCCTCCCTCCTCTTTTTCTTTTTCTTCTTCTTTTTTCTTCTTCTTCTTCTTATTTTGTTACTAGAGTGGAATGATTAACGGCTATAAATTGTAAATGTTAATTAAATAGTTCGAAAATTTGTTCCATTTACCGGGATTTATATACTCAAGTTGTGTTATTAATTTTTATAACCAATATTTACTTAATCGTTTGACTAAGAATTCTATCTGATGACTGATATGCTTAGTGTTCATTACATTGTAATCAATATATATTGGCCAATAAGTGTCAATTAATAAAAATAATTTAATAGTTGAGATCATTAGTCAATTGAAGCTAGACCACCATGAAAAACCTGGAAGTACTGGAAGGCCGTTTTGTCATATTGTAGGACTACTCAGCAGTACGCATCCATGATCCCCACCGCGAGGTTCGAACCCACGATCTATCGGTGTTGCGCGCGAATGCTTAACCTTTAGACCACTGAGCCAGCCGGCATCTAATGGTGTCAATGTCTAACATTCCGATAATAAGAATAATTCGAATTCATAAAATAGTTATCAACATAGATACAAATTATTCAAACAGAGGTTCATAGATTACAGTTAATGTTATATTTTTGTTGAACTATCAAATGTTTTATCATCAAGCCTGTATTCAATTCATAATTTCTGTTATTAACAACTGATTGCAGTCATATTTGTCAAACCCTTTGGTAATAACCGAATTTTAACTATGAAATCGGTTAGTACTCTGTGATTAATCAAAGTAAATTTCTTAGTCGCTTAGGAAACCAGTCTCTGACCGAACAGCTTAGTGGTAACATCTCACCCCGTGAAGTTAAGTGGTTCAGGTTTGAATTCTTAACGAATAATCAATCTAGTAAAAATTATTGTTGAACCTTTGTGGCGAGTATCAACTAGAATGAACTTAGGTACAGGGTTTTCTCCCAATAAAGTTTCTAGTATTTTTATAACAAACAGAATTTATAATATCCCAAATAATCTTGTCTTTGGTTATGTATGTGACTATGGTTGACCGTCTCTGAGGAGTCTGACACTAGTATTTGACGTTAACACAATGTTCACTGGTTTAAAATAACTTGCTTAATGATATATGTTTTCAGATCTGGTGATTAAAGTTGAAAATAATATATTTTTAAAACTTCAAAAGTTCAAGGGAACGACTTTTATGTTCAGATAAATAAAGTGATTCAATAATAACGAGAAGAAATGGGCAAAAACGAGTCAAGAATACACATTCTAAATAAACAATATATTTAGTTACATGTTTTGTTGCTAAAGATTTTATTTTAAAAAAATAAATAAAACCATAGAAACAAAAAGGAAGATTTAGTAGAACAGACCATTAAACATTTCTTATCGAAATCGACCTCTTTCTCTGTGTAATTGACATGTGGGAATAAAAAAAACAATAAACAACCTAACAACACTTGAATACTAGGACAAAGTGTTTAGTTCAAATGATTCATTCTTTATTGCTTTTCGAAGAAACTTTCCTTTTTAAATATATAAATATATTTATTTATTCAATGTCCTCTTGTCTCTCTTTAATCATTACTCCTTTTTTACAGTATAGATCTTTTCTCATTCTTCTTTACTTTTCGAGGTTATTAGTTTATGATAAGTAAGCATAATAATCAGTAAATAAATATGTAAATAAACAAATATATATATATATATATATATATATATATATATATATATATATATATATATATATATAGATTAACTAAAGTTTTATTACAACAATTTAAGTGGTGGGTGATTGTTTGAATATTGGAGATGTACACTGTATAACACATGTGATGAGAATTAAAACATATGTGAAACTTTCAAGATTGGATACCAAGTTTCTTTTGCTTTCTTTTATTTTAACTGTATTCATTTATTATTATTATTATTATTATTATTATTATCATCAGTAATGGTAGTAGTCTTAGTAGTAGTCTTAGTAGTAGTAGTAGTAGTAGTAGTAGTAGTAGTAGTAGTAGTAGTAGTAGTAGTAGTAGTAGTAGTAGTAGTAGTAGTAGTAGTAGTAGTAGTAGTAGTAGTAGTAGTAGTAGTAGTAGTAGTAGTAGTAGTAGTAGTAGTAGTAGTAGTAGTAGTAGTAGTAGTAGTAGTAGTAGTAGTAGTAGTAGTAGTAGTAGTAGTAGTAGTAGTAGTAGTAGTAGTAGTAGTAGTAGTAGTAGTAGTAGTAGTAGTAGTAGTAGTAGTAGTAGTAGTAGTAGTAGTAGTAGTAGTAGTAGTAGTAGTAGTAGTAGTAGTAGTAGTAGTAGTTAGTAGTAGTAGTAGTAGTAGTAGTAGTAGTAGTAGTAGTAGTAGTAGTAGTAGTAGTAGTAGTAGTAGTAGTAGTAGTAGTAGTAGTAGTAGTAGTAGTAGTAGTAGTAGTAGTAGTAGTAGTAGTAGTTGTAGTATCATCCCAAAATCTTGACTAGTTTCAGTGAAAACATGAATAAACACGGATAAACAAATTTACAGATAAACATTATCATATTTAAAAAGTTAATTTTGAATTCCTCTTTATAGATTTGTTTATTTAAACTTTGTTTACATCCAAATAACAACATTGAACAGAAAATTTATAAACAGCTGTTTATAGATAATATTTTAGCAATTTATATTTGTTTCTTTCTGAACTGTAAATACCAAATACAGGAAATGGTCTTATACGAGCATATAGAAATGTAATATGTACACTCACACACACACAGCAAACACATTTACAGATGAATTATATGAATCTCTTGGAAAAGCATTATATCGGTTTAGTTTTATAAAACAAATAATAATAATAATAATAATAATAATAATAATAATAATAATAATCATATTAAGTAGTATAGAACTGTCTACTTTAACTTATGTAATCAGTTGTTTTATACAGTAGCTATATCTCTGTTTTATTTATTATGTCATTTTATTTCATATGTTTATTATCATCTATTTACTTGAATGGAAGTGAACAATTTCAAATTATTTCTATATTAGTATTGAAAAACAAAACTAATGGGAAGTTTAAAAAAAATATTTTGAATGGTGTATTTACATGGTACTTTTTTAAATAAATAAATAAATACATAATAAAACGAGGTCAAGGTTTGTTTTTATTATCAGAAGGGGTTTTGTGGAGAGTGTAGTAATTTCAATAGTTGAGATCCTTAATTAATTGAATCTAGACCATCATGGAAAACGTAGAAGCACTAGACGGCCGTTTCGTCCTATTGTGGGACTCTTCGACAGTGCGCATCCACGACCAAACCTCGCGGGGTTCGAACCCAGGCGAGACTGATAGGTCCTGGGTTTTCCATGGTGGTCCAGCCTCAGTTGATTCATGATCTCAAGTGTTTGTTTTTATTTCAAAATTTCATGATAAACAATCTTAAAATAATATAAACGAAGTTGTTAAATATTGAATTTATAGAAGTCTACGACAATTGATGACAATAACGAAATAGAATAAACAATCAATTGTTGATTTTTTTAAAAAAAAAATTGTATTCAATACGATTTACCAATAGTTATTCACTGGTGTAAATAATGTAAATACGATTGTACAGTTTCAAAAACTGATATCAACAAGAAGGAAATATTCCTCAATGAAAGGTGATTATCCTTCTCACTGATGTAATGTTTCGTCACCATTCAATTGGTAATATGAGCATATTAATTAAAGTGTTGAGTAAAAAGGTTATCATTCAGAAGAGATCTAGTCCAAAATAAATCACAATTGTTTTCAACCAACTTTACTAGCTTACTTACTTAACCTTGTTACCCCTCATGGAGGACCATAGGCCTCCCACCAACATTCTACATCCAACTCTGTTCCAAGCGATCCTTTCCACTTCTTCGCAGTTCCTATTCAACCTTTTCATGTCTGCTTTCAATTCTCAACACACTGTGTTCTTTGGCCTTCCACTTTTCCGTTTCCCTTCACGATTCCAAGTTAAGACTTGCCTCGTGATTTCCTTAATATATGTCCTATCTAATTCCAACATCTAATTTCCTCTTCAACCGGAAGCTTTTCAACCAACTTAGTGAAACAAAAGCAATCATAAATATGTCGTTTGAAACTATGTTTTCAGAGTGATTTATTAATTCAATAAAATATATATTCATACCATTTTGTGATCGATAAATTTATTTACCAGTTTACCGGTTTATTCAAAAGTAATTACACCGGAAAGAGAGAAAGGAGTTTGCTTGTTATCATTTTGAAGCACATTCTACAAAAATTAAGACTAAAAAGTCAACATGTTTACCACAGTATAACTGATGGTCATCTGATTGATAGCGTAAAGTATGATGATATTTGAAAATCATTTAAAATAATAAATACACAATCAACTTTGAATTTACCTCGCTACATCTAAACCAAACGTATTAAAAAGCTGAAACTTGTATTCAAAAAGGTAGCTGTAAATTTCCATATACCCTGGTAACTTTTATTTTTTGTGATTCAATTACGTTATATCTTATTTTGTTTTCTCAATAACAAATCCCTTTCCTTCTTTTTTAAGTCATTTTTCTACGTTTACTCATCTGATTTTTTGGTTATCATTATGTAACTTTGAACTCGATTTTCATCTTTGAGTGTTTTAAAAATTTTCCTCTTCAATTTCCATATTTAGTAACATATATATTCATCTACTTTGCTAATTTATAATTCTTTCGTATGATAGAAAATGTACTTATCGGTTGTAAATAATTAGTATCATTATAAAACAAGAGATTATCTTTATTAAGAGAAGTTGCCAAGTATTTACATAATACATAAAAATAGCCTTCGATTATTCATTTGCATTTTTCGGTATGTATTGCACTTTTAACTATCTTCTCAATTAACCTCCAAATGTTCTACCAATGTAGTACTTTTGATGCATTGAAACACTTCACTCTATCTGACAATTGTTGCAACTTCGATGCCGCACTCCGCTACAAAACAACTTTGTGAGTAGCGTTCACTATACCATTGTTTATAGATTGTAAACGATTAATGATAAATCACAACATCAATGAATTCATTTCATGTTGCTACACTTTTCTGTTCTTGCATAAATCAAATATATATTTATTATACTTTCACTTATAAAAAAATGTAACTAAGGCGTAGATTATGATTATTTTTTTCTTTAGAAATTTCTTCTTTTATTTAATATATCCCCATGAACTAATGACTTGTTGGATTATATACAAATGAACGATAAAACTGATACATCCTTTTTTATTGGTATAATCACTTTGTTATTAAAACTACAAGGTGTCATATTACAATATTATGTCATAATGAATAAAGCAAGTGTATTCCATTCAAATAAACATTCAAATCAAAAATAATAATAATAATAATATAAGTGATACTAAACATTATGAGGTAGTAAGGGAAAACAAAATCAAATCTATGAATAGTTTAATAGAAAGTTCAAATTCTTAGTTGAATAGTACCAAATAAAATGAAGGAAAATTAATTTATTTGCTTAGTAAGTTAGAAGAAAAAACAGTTCATTTATGATTAGTGTAAGAAAAATAGTAAGTAAGAAACTAACATAATGAACAATTATCTCATAACACTTTCAATATTATCGTTTATTTCATTTTAATCAGTAGAAATTTCTTATGGTTAGATATATTCAGTTAATTTTAACAGTTAGGATCATGAGTCAATTGAAGCTATACCATCATGGAAAACCTGGAAGCACTAGATGGCCGTTTCACTCTAATGTGGGACTCCTCAGCAGTGCACATCCACGGTTCCGCCTCGTGGGATTCCAGCCCAGAACCTATCGGTCTCACACGTGAACGCGTAACGTCTAAACCACTGAATCGGCGTTATTGTCTAACTTCAATGAATCCATGAAATTGAACGACACATCCATGAGTGTCTTCAGTGAGTTACTATCACACAACAGACCCGGTTGAATTTCACTGGTAACTGCTTCTCACTAGAACTTCAGGAAATAAAAAAATTTCTCCAGTTATGTCCCCAAAACCAACCTCCCCTTATTTGGTCTTAATTATGAGGTGGACACTCTTAAGGTTACTTCAGAGTCATTCAAAAGTCGTCCATACATTTTAGTCTCACCTGAGAATCATTTGAAGAATTTCAGAATTAATTCATTATATGTGAAAATTATATATTTGAAATAATCTCAGAGATTGAAATTTAAAACAATTCCAATGTTTTGTCTAACAAACTTGTTTGGACTTCTTCAGGGTAATAAACAGAATCAAAATCATCAAAGAAATATATATGGTGTAACAATTAAATCGAATCTATACTGTGCTAATCCAATTATATTTGGATGTTGATTTTTAGTAAATAGGATAACATGAGTCAGTTAAATGTGAAACATGTGAAAAGTTCACGATGTGACAAATAAATGACTGGACGAATTGTGTGTGTGTGTGTGTGTATGCACATGTATGGGTAAGATTATGTTATTAATGATTGATATTCGATATTACTATGTTTTATATGAAGGAATAAATAAATGTGCAAGTTAAAGGTTGAAAATTCTTTCTGAGTCATTGATGAACAAGTAAAATGAGAATCATCAAATACATAATTGTATTACTAAAAATAACCCACATTAATCACAATTGATTGATCACTGGGTGGTGATCAATGTCATGTGTGTCAAGTCCTTATTTAGTGCAGATCGAATGCTATCGATCATGTTGCAATGTGGCCACCAGTCTAGGTGACTCGACACTGCAGGCACTATATATTAAGATTTAGATGGTGGTTGGAGGTAGTCAACAGGAAACCCTGGACTCGGGTTTCGTGCTACTTGGCACTCGTCAGCAAGGTGTACCTGTAAACTTGAGGGAACTGGTGCTCCCTGGCGGATTCGATTTCGTGTCACCCAGCTTCACAGTCAGAGACGTTACCACTGAGCTATCCGAGCCGCGACTGACCTCCTGTAGGACTGAGATGTAATCACAATTGATGTGAATAAAATGAGCACAACAACTGATGTGGAATAAGATGAATTCAACTTAAGTGAGTGAAAATAATGTTACTAAATCAGAATTAAGCAATTCGACAATAGTATTCATAGCGTACTTCTAGTAAAGTTGAAAAGTGGTTAGGCGTGTAGTCCAGGAGTAGAGTCACATCTTCTTTGGTAACCATCAGTTGGTTGTCATCAAATCAACAAATGGTGTTATTTCTTATCATTTGATGAACAAAAAACATAGTGTCAACTTAGATTTTTCTAATAGTATACCCTGTTCCGAATCATCTTTCAAAAAGTAAAAAATTACTTCTCCAGTAAAAGAAACCAGACTTGTGTATGCAAACTGATTAATTTAATCCATATGCTTGGCCTGGTCTAAAACGGTGTTATCCCATTATCAATTGAACCGATCTTGTCAGAACAAATTGAAAATGCTTAGTAATCAACTAAACGGTAACTTTG